AATTTTTTTAAAGGTAGTAATGATTAATTCTTGCTTAATTGTTTTGTGTGATCAGCTTTTTCTGCCTTACCAATGCTGATTTGTGTGTCACAATAATGGGCTGACCTTGCTATGCCCCCGTGTAGAGGCTGACTCATACCAGCTTTGCTTTAAGGTAAGGCAGCAGGGGCAGATGGAGGAAGTAGGAAGCTGTTGGGATATGGCTTGGCAGCCCCAAAAAACCAACTGTGTCCTGGGTCACAGCAAAAGAAGTGTGGCCAGGAGGTCAAGGGAGGTGATTCTGCCCCTCTGCTCTGCTCTGCTGAGGTCCCACCTGCAGTGATGTGTTCAGATCTGGGGTCCCCAGCATACAAAGGACATGAATGAGTTGGAGTGAGTCCAGAGGAGGGCATGAAGTTGATCAGAGAGCTGGGGCACCTCTGCTATGAAGACAGGCTGAGAGAGTTGGGGCCACTCAGCCTGGAAAAGAAAAGGCTCTGAGGAGACCTTAGAGCCTTTCCAGTACAGAAAGCTGCAGAAGTTCTTCTCACAAGGGTGTGTAATGATGGGACCAGGGAGGGTGACCTTAAGCTTAGAGAGGGTAGGTTTAACTTTGATATTGGGAAGAAATTCTTTGCTGTAAGGGTGGTGAGGCACTGGGACAGGATACCCAGAAAAACTGAGGGTAAGTTATTCCTGGAAGTGTTCAAGGCCAGTTACAATGGGTCTTTAAGAAATGTGGTCTAGAGGGAGATGTCCCTGCACCCACAGCAGGAGTGTTGGAACTGGGTGGTTTTTAAGGTTCCTTCCAGCCCAAATCATCCTGTGATTGTACAGCCCCATCTGATGCTGCAGCTGAAGTGGTGTGAGGAGCACCATGATGATGGCTTCATGTCCTGCTGCCACTGCACAGTCCCAGTGTGCATGCAAGGCAGGCCCCCTCAAGGTGAAATCAAGGTGGGCATCTGTATCCTCCCTCACCCTTCTGCCCTGCCTGCACTTTGTCTCCCAGTTCTGGAGATGGGTGTTCCCTTCTACCATGCAGCCTCCCTGTAGCCTGTGCGATCCTCACCCCTTTTCCTAAGCAGGGCTGTGCAAACATTTCTTGCCTTTCTCCTGCGTTGTCTGTCCCAGGTGAGTATTATGGGTCATAGGCTGCCTCGCTGTGTAATTGCAGAGCATGCAGCAGTAAGAGAGGTCAAGGTATCTGCACTGCTCCTGATTGGCACTGAGAACAAGGTGGCTGCTTTCAAAAGTGTTTTGCAGAGGCATTTCTAGGAAGGTGCATTTGTGGGATGGTGTATTTTTAGAGAATTTTACTGTGTCCCTCAGATGTGTATATAGTGCTCCATTTGCTGCAGCACAGAAGAGACGTGGAGTTGGATATGGCTCCATTCCTCACTAGTTTCCATTTGTTGGGAACCTCTGGAGTTACAGCATGAATGCTCAGTCCACTTGATTTAATCAGGAGCTGCTCTGAACTCCAGCAGCTGTTTTATGCAGGAAATGTTTCAAGAGAGGAGAAACTCACTTCTGAGGTTTAGCCAGTGAAAACAAGTGTGAGTTGCTACAAATGGGCACAGCAGTATAGAAATTAGTGCTGTTTCTGACAATTAGGACTGGATCTTTGCATCTTTTTTCTGCAATGCTCCCTCAAATATTATTGCTGGGATCAGTATATTTCAATTTTTTTTTCCAGGCTATCCCCAGTTTAGACTGACACACAAGTACTTGCAGGCTGATGTTAGCAGCAAGTAGGCTCTGAATATCCAGTAGAGCTTAAAATAGTGGAAGGAGCACAAAATGTTGTGGGGAGCTGTTGGATGCAAATAAAATTATGGCAATAATAACGTGAGTATCCCCTCTACTTAATGGATGTGTGTGGATATGTTGCCCCATCTGCTGGGCTCTGCTGCAGAAGTGCCACCACAGCAAAGGTTGCTGTTGTCACAGGGAGAAGAGCATTGTCACAGCTGAGGAGAAGGAGTTTCTCAAAGGTGTGTGTGTGTGTATGAGGGGTGCCCTGCAGTTCTCACACATTCTATCAAGCAGAGCCTGGCTGTCTTGGAAGTAAAACACCCCAAAATGTAGAAATAGCAGTGTAACTGTCAGCATGGCACAGGGAGGAGGGAAGCTGTGCAAAGCACCACAGTTTCTGTCCTCAGTGTTTTATGTGCTAAGGACTGCAGGCTGTGGTGTTCCTGCCATCTCTGCTCTGAGTCATGGGTCATGGCATCGCTTCTGAGCACTCAGAGTCGTGCTGGGTGGCTTTGCCCTGGCAGCCAGGAGGAGTCCTTGCCTTGGGAGGGAGGCACAGCCTGGGATCTCACACTGCATGGCTGCTCCTGTGCTCTGGGTGTAGCTGTTCGTTTCCAGCAGCTCTGTGCTGTGTCTAGGTTCAGCTCAGAGCTTGCAGCACCCCAGGGCAGGGCACACACGTGGGGAGCCTTAGCAGCACCTGTTTGCTGTGACAGTGTCCCTGAAGCCAGGCCAGCTCTGAGACAGAATCTCCAGGTACAGCTCCTACAGTAAAACAGTAACAGTCCCCTCTTCCCGAGTCAAGAAGGCAAGGCCTGGGCATTGTTTTAGAGAAATGTAGGAAGAAAAAGAAGAAAACAGTTGTATTTATTTTCAATAACTCATTCAGGTTGAACGGGTAAGTAGTTTTACAGTGCTGATTTATGGGCTGTTGCAAAATGCAAGAGCTGCTCACGATTGCAAATTTCATTGATCTTGACTCGAAGAATTTCAGTACAGTAATGTTTTATATAGTTCCTCTCTCCCCAGTCCTGCCATTTGAAGTAGTAAGAATGATTTGCCTTTATGCAGCCCAAGAGGAGATGCAAGTCAGGTGCTGGAAAGAGAACCTGGGCATCCTGATTTACAGATCCAGGTCTGCTCCTTTCAGAGGGGAAGCCTTTCTTTACAGAAAAAAATGCCCTGTCTCCATGAGTAACAGTCCGTGCTTTATCATGCAGTTAGCAGGCATTCTCTGCAGGCTCATTTTTGTCATTGCCACTCTAAGGACACTTGACCATGCCTAGTTTGTGGCCCCACCAGCATAAAGCAGCATGCTGGTTCCAGTTTGCCCTGATCATGGTGGTAATGGGTCATTATACTCCTTCACATGGTGTGAGGCTTCCAACATGGTTTGGTCTTTGAAAATGAGCCTCAAAACTGCCTGTGGTAGCAGCCATAGTGTGTGGTGCTGTGCACTTTTGAAAGATCTATATGTTTTTAGATGATGAGCACTCTCAAGATATTTAGGTTGGATTCCTGTGGACAAATGCTTGTGTTCTGGGTAGCTTCACTGCCTTTTCCTAGCCCAATTCATTCTCTTCCTCCAGAAGTAGCACTGTGTCATATGGGTGTTTGGCATACTGCAGGAGGAGCAGTGCAGCTTGCATTTACATTTATGTGTAAACCCGCCAGAAAACATTTCTATTCTTACTGGCCCAGATTTCTCCTGCCCATGACTAACCATTGCTGAGCCATAGGAGTTAGCACTACTGCCTTAAAGTGCTGCAGGCCTGTCTTCTCAAAGGTTTATCTCTGCTTTTTTTAATTAAGCATGAATTTGGGGGCAAGCTACATCCCACTGTCTATTTAGGGAAGAATAAATGCCAGAAATCCTGCTTTGGGCCTGTGAAGTCAGTTCAGAAGAATTCAGAAGAATTTGGCTCAAAGAGTATATTGTATTCTGTTTCTCCTCTCAGTCTGAGTTCTAATATCTGCAAATGGGAGAGGCTTTGCAGTGTCGTCTCTGGAGAGCCTGTGTGTGATGTGCTGAGACACTGCTCACAAGGACTGCTGCAGGCAGCACACCCCTCTCCTGTTTGACTCATTTTGGGTTCTCAGATGTCAGGCTGCCCTAGCAAATGCCTCCCAGCAGCTCCAAGAGAGGCACTGGGAAGTGTGCCACACTGTGCTCTGCCTCGTCAGTGTGGGGAGACAGAAGGTGCAGTGACAGCAGCTTCTCGTGTGGCTCACTTGGCTCTGACAGTGCAGGTTGCTCTCAGGTTTGCCCACACCCTGCTACTGTGCTTTGCTTGCACCAAGTTCCTGCCTCTCTGGACATCCTGATGGGTAGGAGGAATGGAGTGGAGAAGAGTCCTTGGTAGAGAAATGGGTTTGGACTGTGCTTTTTGTCATGAAACTGTTTGCTAATGACAAGAATATATTTTCTAAAAAGTAATTAAAGAAAAAAAGCTCTATACAGCTTTTTCTCATGCTGGCTGGTTTCTATCAGTCCAAGTCGCTGTGAGCCACACTGAGCCACTGCCTGTTGTTGAACTGTGCTTGGGGTTTGCACCTGGGCACTACCTGGGAATGCAAGAGAACCTGCTGCTACCTCCTCCATACTGTCCCTTCTGCCCCCCAGCTCCAGTTCTAAACTTTGCTATCAATAGTCTTTCTGTGTCACTTATTACTGCTTGTCCTCATTGTGTTATCCTGGTGTGCACAGGTGTCACATGAATCCATCACAGGAAAGACAGTCTGTACTTCTGGAACCCACAGTCCAGCTTCTTCTGGCAGGGAAAGTGACCCATGGCTCTAAGGGAGGGTTGATGTTTGAGTTTTATTTTTTTTTTCCCCTCCTCTTTCAGCACATCTGTTTCTGTCTTCCCTATCATTGTGTATGGATGCACACAAACCTCTAGCATTGTTGTCATCTAAATTTTACCTTTCCACATACGACTTTCGTGGTAAATTTTCTTGGAGCTCTAGGAAGCCTAGTTTTATGCAGGAATATCGTATTCTATTGTCCCGATGAGAGATAAATAGCTTGGCAGAAACGTAGGAGGTGTACAAATGAAACCAGAAGTTTCCATGTTCTCTAGATATGAGCACAATGTTCTTGTTCTGTTTTATAAAAGCCCAGTATGCTTTCATTGAAAACACTGTGGTTTTGCCTCTGATTTTGGTGGGGGCAGTACCAAGGGCTTGTGGGGAGCATGGGCAGAGCTGTTTTCCTCCTGCAGACTTGTGAGCCTAAGGCACCTTATTCTTTCTGGCTGCAGAGCGCTGTGATGACTGGGGTGTGGACACCATGAAGCAGATTCAGATTTATGATGGGGAGCCTGCCAAGATCAAATGCCCACTTTTTGAGACCTTCTTGAAGTACAACTATAGCACAGCCCATTCTGCTGGCTTAACCCTGATCTGGTACAGGATCGCTCAGGACCGGGATCTGGAGGAGCCCATTAATTATCGTCTCCCAGACAATCACATCAGTAAGGATAAAGACACCCTTTGGTTCTGGCCTGCTCTTCTCAATGACACTGGGAATTACACCTGCATGCTCAGGTAGGTTGTGTGGTGCAGTTTCTGTAGGTTTCAGTGCAATCAAAGGACTTCCGTGGAGGTGGGGAAATGATGCTATTAGCGCCAGATCTTTTTGTGGGGAGACGACCATTTACATAAGCATTAATGGGAAAAGAATGTTAAAATTATAAGGCTGCTCAGTGCTGAGCCCAATTTACATGGCAATAATGCTTGGAGACTTACAGACACTAATGAGCGTGCCTCTCCTTGCTGCAAGTGTCCGTGAAAATGTTATTGCTGAGCCCATGGCAAAATCCACAGGCGCTCACCATTAAGAAGTGATCTGCATTTCCCGAGTAAAAATAGCTTCAGATGCAGGGGTAATGTTTTGACTGCACGCTAATTTGGCAAAGATTCATGAGATTCAGACTTCTAGGAAATTAAAAGTGTCTCTAACTGTGGTGCAAAATGAGCATAGCATCTGCTATGCACAAGAGCTCTTTTTGATCTTCCTCACGTTGTCTTTAGTCCGTGTCTTTGACCTTATGATCTGCTTTAGCAGCAGGGGAGTGGATGTTGCTTGTTAGTCATCTTTATAGGCTTTTGTGAGCTTGTGTGGCCACCTCTGGTGGGGTTTTCTTTACCATTTATAAATGAGTCAACTAAGTCTGTACATACCTCATCAGCGCTATGATGCTTCTTATTGCAGATAAAATTTTTATTTCATTCCACTCCACTGCTGTAGGAGTAAACAAGTTTCAACTAATCAGCCCAGTTCTTGTCCACCCTTAGGAACACAACCTACTGCAGCAAAGTTGCTTTTCCCTTGGAGGTTGTTCCGAAAGACCAGCACTCTTGTGTGAGCCATTCCATAAAACCCACTGAGGAGATGTTCTACTTGGAGCACGCCAATCAGAACATCACATGTCCAGATATTGATGGGTTTTACCCTGCCAGTGTGACACCAACTGTCAAGTGGTACCTGGTAAGAAGGACTTGCTTGGGCAGCAGGGGGATGCAGTGGTGTGTGTGAAAAAGCAGTGGTTGGCATGGCAGTCGTGGGACTGCATTTCAGAGTCTCCCCAGTGACAATATTGTTAATGAAGCTCTACTAATTTTAAGAGCTCTGCTTCCATTGAGTTCAAGGGTAAAACTGCTCTTGGAAAGGAATTGAAAGCTAACACTGAAGCTTTTTTGACCAGCATGCACAAGTGAAAAATCCTCCTAGGAGGGATTTAGGTGGCTCAGTTCAGTTATGGCTAGTGTGCTCGACCTGCTGTGTGTGAGCCTCTCACTTCCCTGTAAAGGAAACTGACGTTCATATTCCCTCTTCTTTAAAAAAACCCACTTGTTAATGAAAATTGCATCCTTTCCAAAATCCTCTGAGGTCAGGAAGTGAAGCTGTACATCAGGCTCTGTGAGGACAATGGGTGTCCTGTTTGACACAATTCAGTAAACTTCTTTTCTGAAGACTGAGACATCTCTACCCCAACCCTCCATACTTTTCTGATTATTAGAATGTCTCCAGCCGTCCTCAAGCTTTTCCCTGCAGAATTACTGTTCAATTTTATTAAATTTGATTTCACTCTTTCTCTCTAGGTGGATGCCTCTAGTCAGTAGAGAATAAGAAGTCTCAGGGGATGTAAAGTCTGAGAGTTATAGGAATAAATTCTTTAACAACATCCTATGAAGTGCTTTTGTATTTCTAGATAGAAGGTTTTGTATAAGTGAATTTAATAATAAGAGAAGTTGTCAACAAAGGAATCTGCTGATTTAAAAGAAAATTAAAAAGACCCAGAAGAAAACCCACCTCTAAAACCCTTCAGGAAAACTTACTCTTGTATCAAGAGGAGCCGTTTCACTCCAGTAGTTTAAATGCTTTACTTGTATTGTTCATTGAAATGCACATCTCGGCAATCAATTAGCAGAATGAAACAAAAAGCCCCTTGGAAGTAATTTTTCAGGCAGCAAGTCATCCCATGCCTAATAAAAATCATTAAAAATGGTATATGACCCCTGTCTTAAACTACCCCATTAAGATGTATCTGATTTGGAAATGTACCATTCAAAAATAATCTCTTAGAAAATGTGCACATCTTTGGGTTTTATGACAATCAAGATGTTATCTGCATAACCTCTTTCTGAAAAGGGATCTCCAGCTTGGTATTTTGGCAGTTTTCCTGCCTTGCCTGACAGAAAGAGAGGAGTTATTAAGGTTTACGTACTACAGATTCTCATTTGCTATCTGCAAATTCTGGGGCCTCATCCTCAGCTGAAGTCAACCAGGAGAGCTTGATTAGTCCCGAAAGATGGACATCAATGGGGTACATGTCCTTTAGTCTGAGTATCCATTTGTGAATACATCATCATTTTCTTCTTACCATTTTTGACTTTTATTCTTCACTCGGTTAAGGTGCTCACTTTGATTGCCAAGGTACTTCTGGATCAGAGATCTCTCTTTTATAAAATTGTCTGTGTTTAAAGTGGGATAAAGCTATTAGGGTGATCTGCTTCATCACTTCATTTTCAAGGTGAACATAGCAGTCTGTATGCCAACATGCTCAAAGTTCATGGTATGACCTACCTCATGATCCCAAGTGTCATATCAGTAGTTTTAAATCAGATCTTTGTACTAGCATTTAAACCAATATCTGTACTTTTGAATCCAAAAGTTGAATATTTTCTGCCTGACTCCAGGACTGCATCTCAGTGGATGGCTTCTATGAGCGGTATCCCCAAGGGCCCAGGCTTGTCATTGGCATTGTCCGCAGTGCGTATAAAGGGAATTACACTTGCATTGTGACCTTCAAGGACCACGGAAGAACCTATAATCTCACCAGAACCATAAAGATGAAGGTGGTGGGTAAGAATGACTTCAAAATGTGTAAATGCATGTGGGTAACTGCAGAAGTGATAAAAACAGCTGGAAGAGTTTGTTGCAGGTTTCATTTGTGGTTGTGTTCAATCTGCGTTACCCAGCTGACCTGGCGTATTTTTTCTTGCTGGGATCAGACTTGTGTGACTGCTCAGAACTTATTGCAGTAGAGGTATCTTCCACCACCCTGTCAAATGCCCCAAACACAGAGAGTGGCCAGGCTCAGGCTGGTGAGGTTCAGCCCGTGAGATGGCCAGGGGTACCCTCTGCTGGCATGTGAATGCATAACCTTGGCACGCCTGCTCGTCTCCTGTGCCCTTTGCTCGTCACTATTTGTGGGATTGTCACTTCAGAGCCAGCTTGTCTTGATCTTCTTGGAATCTCAAAGCCATTTGTGCTGGAGTTGAGACTTCTAATCAGCCAGGCAGAGCTCTGGTTACCCACTGCTTGGGCACATCTGTCCCAGGTACAGAGGCTCAGCCTACCTGCCAGGGAACTGTAGAGTTTGAAAACCTAGTGAGCTGTAGGATACATTCTGAGTTCCATGGAAGCAGCTGTTTTAAGGGTTGAAATAAATATTTGTGACATGAAATGATGTTTGTTTTCTAGAAGCAGCAGTAAATAGAAACTGGTGCAGGTTATGCCCTGGGGGAGATGAGAAGGTTAGGGAACTCTTCTGATGTGAGAGGCTCAGACTAGCTTACCTAAACTTTGGGGGAGCTTCAAAATCTGGATCTGGCCCTGAGTTTGGGGACTAGGATTAGATTTGTGTGTGCATGGAACTCTGCAGCAGGAATGCATCATGAGTTAGACTGGGGAACGTGTGGTGCAACACGAGGACATTGGGAGTGAGGCTGCAAGGATTCCATGTTTTCATGAAGTGTGGGTCCCCATGGGGGCTCTCTCTTGTCTCCTGCAGGATCTCCAAACAAGGCCTTGCCACCACAGTTCACCTCTCCAAATGAGAAAGTTGTGTATGAACTGGAAGCAGGTAAAGTCCAACACTCGAAGCCTGCCGATGGGACAGGGAGACCCAGCCAGGCACAAAGCTCTCCCCTGCCACTGCATTCCCGGTGCTTTCCCTCACAGAGCACACAAGCTGCCACAGGTTGCCTGGTGGACAGTGTGGGATGCCAATTCTTGATGCCAAAATAGGAGGGTACAGCTTTAAAAGTCGATTTTTTGCGAGCACAACTAAAGACAGATATTCAGGCATGGAGATACAGAACTGCAGCTGCAGATGAAATGGGGACACTCAGCTGCTCAGGAGAATTCCTGTAGGAGCTTGTCTCAGCTCTGTCCCTGGCTGTGGTTTGCTCCCATCCTCCCTCATTCACCCCTAGAGTGCCTTCAGCCTTCTAGCCAATTCTTGCTCATCTCCCTTTTTTTGGCTAATGACTTCCTTATTAATGATAGCTCTCCTTCTGCTGACCTCAAAGCACTGGGTAATGGGGTAGCACACCCTTTCCCTCACCCCTTCTCCCACACCATGAGTTTTGCCTAATAGCTTTTTGGAGCAATTCCCTATATCAAATGGATTGTGTCCCATTACATTGCTATAATAAATGTGGTGGCAATGATGATGATTAGCACCAGAATCTTCACTTTAAAGAACAGCTCTTTTGGCTCAGAAGGTCAGATTTCATCCACAGTCCTCTGTAAGATAAAATCACTTACAGGCTGATCACCAAGATATTCACACTCCCAAGTCTGATCTTCAGCAGAAGTCAAATTCCTGAAGAAATGTTTCCAAACCAAAATGCTTTTGTGGAGCTTGATCCTTCATTTTATGGCATCTGTCCCCTGTGCAGTGGGATTGATTAGCACTGCCCATCTTTCTAAGGAAGTGGTTGGCATGGAGTATGTCCCTTTGGGTGGGTCACTTGGTGCAGTCAAGGAATTTGTAACACATTTGAGAAGGCAGGACATTTTCTCCTATTTGTCTGTCTGTCACAAATCAACGTCCAGAGTTGTTAAGCTATTATTACAGTTTTTGCCAGAAAGTGGATGTTGGCCTCATTCTTTTCTGAAGGGAGGCAGAGCTCAGGCTTGCAGGATTTTGGAAAGCACTAAAGTAAGGGTGGTGCTGTTCCTGCACTGCAATACCTTTTCTCATAGGAGATAATGGTCCTTTCTTTGCAGGTGATGACCTTATCCTACCCTGTGAGGTTTTCTTCACATTCCTGAAGGACTCTCGGACTGAGGTGTGGTGGACCATAGATGGGAGAAACACAGATGACATCACAGACCCCAAGATAAAAGTCACCCAAAGGTAACATGTGACGTGAACCCTCATTTGTATCTAATCCCCTGGGTCCTGTGTGGGTACAGGCATGTGGCAGTGCTAATGGAGTGTGTAGTCTCCCTGTTAATCAGAAGCCCCTGGTCTGCACCATGCTGTGATGAGCACCAGGACCTCCAAGGAGGAGGTCTCCAGACCTGGACAGGGCATACCTTACAGATGGATTTGAGGGAGCTTTGTTAACCAGTTCACATCATCATTTGTTCAGGTCCTGGTAGTGATGCCAACAACTGCTGCTGTTGTGGGACTTATAAAATAGGCACAGACAATCCTGTTTAGAGGAGTGTTCCCAAACAGCATAAAGGATAAAAGTGTTTCAGAAAAACAGAGGCTGAAAACAAAAATGTAATACTATATGTAGTATTGATTAGGAAGAATAGAGATTCAATCACATAAAGAACCGAAATGATGATCAGAGTCTCATTTGCTGGATGGTGAATTACAAGTGGAAGGCAGTCACTGCCCCAGCTGGTTAGCAAACCAATGTAGAAAGAAAAGGTAAGGCAAAAGGAAATATTGTATCTTCATTTTGCAGATGGTCAGTTCAGGCAGAGAGAGACAAAGTGACTCATCCAGGACTGCATAGGGAATGTGACGTGAGCTCTGAATCTTGAGATCATGAGATCTTGTTTATAGGCAAGAACTTCCATTTCCTCTAAAAGGCAGTGTGGCACAGCTGCAATGAGAAAATTACGAGTGGTAAAATAAATATTAAGGCAAATCAGATAAAGGAATAGCTGCAGCTGTATTACAATCTGAAGTGTATATCGATTTATAAATATCAAGTTACGTGTTTTGGCCTTTTTAAAGGAAGACTTTATATCAGGGAAAGGAATACCTGTCACTAAAAACTTGCTGCACTTTCACATGTGTAATGCTCTAGTTTTTCTCTTGCAGTGAAATTACAAGAGATTTTGAAGACAAAACTGTGATAAGGACTCTAATAGTTGCAAAAGCCACAGCAGAGGAGCTGAAGAGGAATTACACTTGCTTTGCCAGGAATGCCAAAGGCGAGGAGCACAGCCAGGCCGTAGTGCGTGTGAAAGGTACAGAGCCTGCAGGGCAGGGCTGGGCAGGGAGGGGTGCTTGGGGGGGCTCTTGCTGCTGTAAAACAGGAAAGGACCAAAGAATGCCATCAGGCCTTTCTGCCTAACACAGTCTGTTCTGTAGGCACTGCTGTCAGACTGCACCACTTCTTGGAGGCAGGGAGCAAAGGGCCCTTCCATGGGCAAGTTCCTGGGAAGAGGAAGGACAGATCTGTTGTCCTTATCCCATCCATATGCCACAACTGAAGCAGACCTGAGGGGACAGGCTGCCTGAAACTATTTCAGGTTATTTGGTTGTGTGAGGGTTTTGCATGACACAACAGCTACCCGTTGGCATCCTCCAGAAGACAGTCTGCACTCGCTGGCATTGCTCAGGGAGTGAGACAGTCACACCACAACGCTCTCTGGTTTTACTCCTTGCTGTCATGATGCTGCAGTCTAGATACAGCCACCTCAGCATGGATGGTATAGACTGATTCAGCTCTGTTCTGTGTGGGTTTTTCCTACACCATTTTTTCATCAGAGATTTGGTTCTCGTTTCCCAGACCCACCTATCAGTAATAAAAGCTATGTGAGGCTTCCTGATTAAGGCAGATTTTTCTGCCTCCTTAGCAGTTTCATCTAGAGCTTCAACACCTGCTTTTACTGTAAGCCAGACCACCCCTCTCCCACAAGGAATGCTGCCATGCCTTGTGTAGCTCATACCAGACACCTTCTTCCCTCTACTCTGCATTATAAGCATGGGAAGGCTCGTGGAGATCTTTACTGGGAGATCTTTTTCTTCTTGGTACTTGTACTTGGTACTTTTTTTAGTCTGATTCCATTGAGACAAACCTTTTCTGGATTGTTAGGGAGAAACAATAGACCACACACATAACTGAGAAAGGATGAAACCATCTGTCAGTGTGTTCATACTCCATATATAATTCTTCAGGGGTGATAATATTTGTACATGGAGCAGAAGTGAATCTGAAATACTCAGATTCTTTATATATCAGTGCCTAAATACTGTTTTCTCATGGACTGATCTGTACTATCCTCCCTTTTCCTCCCCACGTCTGTTCTTGTTTAATTGACTGGGTTTGCTCTAAGCAGACATGCTTACCCACCACTCCTTCTTCCTGCTCTGTTCCACAGCAAAGTCCAAGAACCATCCCTAGCTGCTGCTGGCAGAGCAACCCTATTCTAAGCTCACTGCAGCCCATCCACTGCACATCCCATAGGAGCATTAGGCATGCCAGAACCTAACCCCTCAGCACCTGGCTTTTAGCAAGTGGCTCTATATGTTGGCTCCAACTCTTTCATTACATTAGGTTATATACATTTCTTGCTTTTTCTGGATGATTTCTCTCTTCTCATGTACTTCTGCTGCTCATCACCTAATGAACATTGATAAATTCCTTTCATTTTTGATTTTGTAATTCAGTTTTATTAGAAACTTATTAAATATTGGAATTTGGTGGTGTTTCCACTCTCTGTTGTTCTTTTATTTTGCAGTTTGCCAATTTGCACATCAACGGCCACCAACAGAGTTGCCCAGGGATACAGTTAGAAATTTTCTGTCTTTAGTACAAAGAAGCAGCAGTGGTATGACAGTGTATGAGTTGTAGGGGGCCTGTGATGTTCTGGCTTAATGCCAACAGGTTGTCCTGTTTGTTTGCAAGCATTTCAGCTTTTCTATAAGGAACTGATTCTTCTTTCGTGGTAGAAAAGAGTCAGGCCATGGCTAGTTATATCCTGGGTGTCAGTCTGGGACAAGCCATGAGACCTGTGTCTGATAGGGAGGGAGAATGGTAACCATTGCTTTTATTTTGCTGCAGATGCTTTATCTGTATCTCTTAGAAGTCATAGCAGTTGTGTTACCCCAAGAGTTTGCTGATACTGTTGAGAAGGTCATGTTCATGTTCTGGCTTTGGTCTGTGCAGGTTTCTTCCACCAATAGGTTGTTCTGCCACCTGGCTATTCCCTGGGCCTCACTCAGAGACAGAAGTCCAGCCTGTGCTATGGACTTGCTCTGCCATAACCAGACCTAATAACCCAGAATGGGGCTCACATATCCTGTCAGAAAAGCCTTGGCTTGGCCACCTTACTCTGAAGGGTTGGCTCCTGGCTGTTCCTCTGTGATGTTTGGTTGCACATGACACAAGCTTGTTCCCGCCCAGCTGAAGGTCCAGCCTGTTCTTTAACTCTGACCCTCTGTTTACTTTTGTACTCAGTTGTAGCACCCAAGTACACTGTGGAGCTGGCCTGTGGCCTGGGGGCCACCATCCTGCTGGTTGTGGTGCTCATAGTCATCTATCATGTGTATTGGCTTGAAATGGTCCTCTTCTATCGGGCTCATTTTGGAACAGATGAAACCATTCTAGGTAAGGAGTTTAAAAGCTTTCATTTATTTATTCTGCTGCTGTCCAGGCCCATTGTTTTCACACAATAATTTTTCTTTAAGCTATTCTTAATCCTTATCACAGCATAATCACATTTTGACCTTCCATTTCTCTGTCTACATGCAGTTGTGTGGGTCATTGCTCATTAGAGCAGGAGGAGTCAGGCTTTTGGCTCAGGGAGAAGGAGAAAGAAGTCCTCTGTATTCTCTGCAGAGGTGGAGCATGGACATGCCAGGCTCCCTGGAGCCATGCCCTGCTGATCTAGCTGTATCATCCAGTCTAGGTTGTCATGATACGTCATCAGGTTTCAGTAAGTCCCTTGTTTCCCTGGTGACTCTATGTAAAGGATTCATGACCTGATCCAGAGCGATCTGCTTTAAAATGTGGGAAGGCATCCAAAAGGATGGATGTGGAAATCACCATTCTGTCCTCAGTTCTTCCACAGCTTCCTTGTGTTACTGGGAGTTCATTGCTGGGGACTCTGAGGTGAGATTTCCTCCTCTGGAGGGGGAGGAGGGTGTTTGAGCCCTTGCAGCTTGTGGTGTGAACCTGGCACGGGGGTGCTGCAACTCTTGGAGGTGTAGGCAGGGTGCAAGTCTCTGTCTGGTGGGACTGCTCGTGTGGATAGACAGCAGTGAGAGGGAGCAGAGTCAAAGATGTCCAAAGGCAAAAGAAGCCTGGACAGAACGGGTTGGTCTGTGGAAATGTACGTGCCTTAACCTGCAGTGTCTGGGCTCCAGGTGAGCCTTCCTACGTGCTTCTCTTGCAAGTCAAAGGCCCGGCAGGGGCAGTGTCACAGTGTCCCTTGTGCTGTTTGTGTCTCCCTGTGCTCCCCCTGGCCAGACGGGAAGGAGTACGATGTGTACGTGTCCTACGCGCGCAACGCGGAGGAGGAGGAGTTCGTGCTGCTGACGCTGCGGGGTGTCCTGGAGAACGAGTTTGGGTACAAGCTGTGTATCTTCGACAGAGACAGCCTCCCTGGGGGAAGTGAGTATCTCACAGGGGCTGTGCTCCATGCACATCCTCTCTTTATTGTTCTTTGAGGTATTGATCATCGATTGCAACAGGCCTATCCAGATTATCTTCGGGTTTTCTTGTTAATGAACTCTTTGTGGTGTCTTCTAATGTTTTTACTTTACATGACAGTGTTGCAGATGCTCCAGGCCACCAAAATGGCTGCTGTGGGAATGGTGGTTGGTTGTTTCAGTTGCTCTTTTCAGGTGTGGTGTGCAGGACTGTCAACATGGGGAACCGGAAAACTGACTTTCATGCAAGCCCCCTGAGCTGCCTTAAAAAGTGGGATAAAGTCAAGGCTATAAGAGGCAGGGAAAGTGTTATACTGGAGCAGCTCACAGAGGATCATGGTGAATCCTTGTAAAAACCATGAGTGTCTACTTCAGGAAGGAGTGGAAGGTTTCAAAATCAGTGAGAAGATAATGTGGATAATGAAGATAATGTGCGTCCCATTCATCCTCATTAATTAGGGAGTTTATGTCTAATATGGCATACAATTAAGCTACTATTATTAAAAGTACTTTGTTGCAGGTAGCGAGACATCTCTTCAGTAAGATGTAGTAGTTTTTACTGTTTTGAGATAAATCATACAAGGTTCTGGACATAGTGTCTGCTGCAGGAAGGCAGGGAATCATCAAGAATGGAAGTTTGTGAACGTACTTTCACACAAGTTCCAGCACAAGGGCACAAATCTAGACAATGCTCCTGATTTTCAGTTTTTCAGAGGCTAAGTTGGTTGTATGATCCTGATGCCTATTAAAAGTTCAAAGTCTGAATTTCTGCCAGTGCAGACCGCCCCACTTTGAATTCATGGACTTCGGCTCAGGACCCCACTGGTGACAAAACCTGTGCTGAGAAAGTCCATTGGGGTGTCCCTTTTGAGTAGGAACAGGAGGGACTTCTGGATTCTCAGCCCACCTGCCTGAAAAAGAGAGCAGAATCAGTCTGGGTTCTGTTATCTTTCTCTCCTAGATTGTTGCCAGGATCTAGGAGCACCTGAAGTTTGAGGGTAGATACATATGTATGTCTTAGTGAGACAGCTACAATCCTGGTGCTGTTCCTTCTTCAAGAGAGCCTGAATGACATGGCAGGGCACCCTCCAGGCTCAAATTGCTTGATGCCAGTGACAGATTCAGAGCAGGTTTGCTTCTGAGCCATTTTCACCAGATGTCCATCTCCCTCCCTCTGCTGCTTCTTGACCTGTTCACTTTGGAGGGTGTAATTTTCCTCCCAGCACAGCTCTCCTGGACTCTGTCCTTCACCTTACCCCCATGCATTTCCATCTCTGCCCTGCTCAGTCCCTGCCAGCCTCGAGCCAGTGCCAGTCCTGCGGAGCACTGCTGGAGTGGTTTGTCACTGCACTGCTGTCATAGTACTGCTGGGGCTTCCCCAGAGCTTCTTAGCCAGGATTTCACTAATCTCCTTCTCAGGAAAGCACGGCAGGCCAGGAAATAGCTTTTGGCAGCTGGTGTCTTGCCTCCAGAGTGTGCATCTGTGACATGGGTAGAGTTATGTTGTCCTTGATGAAGAAACAGTGGGAGATGGATTATCCCGTGAGTTAGCTGACAGGAACTAATCAAACGTGCTTGACAGCTAAATGAAGTTGTCTGTCAGCATTATTTTACTCTCCATTGTAATTTCTGACCAGTCAAGAGTGTTCCTTTATCAAGGAAGTGTGGGAGATCCTGCAGCAGAGAGTACAAGCGCCCAGATTCATATTTACAAGGGACTTTTACATTAATTACAGGAAGGTGGCCAAGGACAGTCTACCTGCAGTTGTTAGAAAATGGAGGAGGATCCACAGTTACCATGACGCTTCTCCAGCTCAAAGGATGTCGTTTTTGGGACACTTCATTAAAAGTCCTCAGAGTCAGTTCTAAAAATGCTCTAATCTGCTTTCATAGAGGACGGCAGCAGGAACAGATGGATGAGTAACAGAAATTAGGATGGTAGCATTACCAAAGCAAATTATCCCATGAAGACACTCAGGGAGGGTGTAAATACATACTTCATTTGGGGAAACCGAGGCAAGAGGAGTGAAGGGAGTATCCAGAGTCATTCTGGATATCTGCCAGAGGAGGATATAAGCATAGACAATCACACTTCCTGAAGCCTCTTCAGGGTGAGGCTTTCCCTGGAGTTCATGTGTTATGAAGCTAGCAGTTTCCCTGTTTTGCTCCAGAGAGCCTCTTTTTCCCCTCTCACTAGAAGGAAGCTAAATCTCAGCCCAAGACCAGCAGCCTTCTTGGCCACAAGGCATCCTCACTGGGTGAGCACTGGGTGGTGTCACTGATGTGTTGTACAGTGACTTTTAGTGTAGCTCTCTTGGTTATCCCTGTGTAGCATGGGGAGGAGGAAATGCATCTATAGGTATTCTGGAGCTGATGGAGGAGATGTCACTGTACAGCTAGTGGGAACCAGGCCTGGTGTAGGAGGTCCCACCTGGACTCCACTTACAGGGTTGGGAAGCACCTGTGTAGTCTAGGGAGGGCCTCCAAGGGATTTATTGTCCCCCTTCAGGAGGCACCTGGTGTCACAGCAGCAGCTCAGCATCATGTTCTTGGGCATCACTAACCACCTCAATGTTTCTTTCTCCCAGTTGTCACAGACGAAACCCTGAGCTTCATCCAGAAAAGCCGACGTCTGCTTGTTGTCCTGAGCCCCAACTACGTCTTGCAGGGGACACAGGCCCTGCTGGAGCTCAAGGCTGGCCTAGAGAATATGGCCTCCAAGGGCAACATCAAAGTCATTCTAGTGCAGTACAAAGCCATCAAGAAGAGCAAAGTGAAGGAGCTGAAGCAGGCCAAGGCGGCCTTGAATGTCATTAAATGGAAAGGCGAGAAATCCAAGTTCCCAAAGGGCAGATTCTGGAAGCAGCTGCAGGTGGAAATGCCAGTGAAAAAAATTAGCAGGAGTTTAAGCCTTGATGTGTTGATGCATATCCCTGAAAAATGTTTGACACAATCAGAAAACAAACCAAAACACACTGCAAAAATCCACAAGTTAGGCCAGGGAGTGGGGAGGAACTCAGGGTTTTTTCCATGAAGGACCATGTCCCAAGCATTTCAGAGGATAGTCGTGTTTTCCCTGCAGCTTTGATATTGCTCTGTCAGTAGAGAGACCAAAGTTGCAGACATCTCCTCTCTGCAAATGTATGCCTTTGTTATCAACCACACAAGCCCTGGGCTTAAGGTCTAAATTTGCTGTCCAGGTGGGATGCATCCAGCATCTCGTGATAGCACGGCCAGTACTCCTAGATCCAGTTCCCATGGGCCCTTCATTAGCATCCAGGACAGAGCTTCTTTCCACTCCTAAGTGCCTACATTCCTTTCTGGTTCTCAGTCCCTGTTGCAGAGGCCGAGGAACAATTTGCAAGATGGCTCCAGTGTAGAGCCTTTCCTGCATGTCCTGGGTCTGTAGTCCCAATCACGTGTGGGATCACAGACTCCTGCTGCACTGTGGGGAGTATAGACTCTTGAAGTTCCTCATCTGTGCTCCCCAAATTTCCTTTGAAGCAGATGCATCCAGGTAGTTTGGCAATGAGAAATGGCTGTTCCAGAAGCATTAAAAAAAACCCCACAACTCTTCTGGGTGCTATTTTTATTTTAGCACATCTAGCAACAAGTGGTTAGTCTCTGGGACTCTGCAGACTCACAAGTACCCCAGATCCTTCAGAGCTGCTTGTAATCCAGGGAAATATCTCATGAGTACAGGCCATGGAGCATGTGAGAGATATTTCTTTGTAGAGTAAACTCAGGGACTTCACAAGCACTACAAGGAACCCCAATGTACTACTGAACCCTCCTACTGTCTCTACCACTGGCTGGGGGAAAGCATCATGCAAGGTGCTCCCAAGGTCTTTGGGATGACACTGGATAGAAGTCCAACTCAGATGGACACCCCACAAACTTACTTGAACTTCCTAAAAACTACTAGTTCTGTCCATGTAGGTAAGACTGTGAGGACAGGCTGAGAAAGCTGGGGATGTTCTCCCTGGAGAAGGCTCCTGGGAAACCTTTTTGTGGCCTTTCAGTGCTTAAAAGGAAGCTTATAAGAAAAGTGTGTACAGACTTTTTTGTAGGGTCTTTTGCAATTACCCCTTTTAGGGACAAAGGGTAATGGTTTTAAACTAAAGGAGAGTAGATTCAAATTATATTTAAGGAGGATGTCTTTTACAATGAGGGTGGTAAAACACTGGCACAAGTTTTCCAGAGAGGTGGTGGATGGCCCATCCCTGGAACCATTCAAGGCCAGGTTGGACAAGGCTGTGAGCAGTCTGATCCAGTTGAATATGTCTGATGATTGCAGGGAGGGTGGCCTTTGAAGGTTCTTCCTAACCCAAATTATTCTATGATTTTATAAAGACTGTCTTCAGTGCCTGGTTATGAACAATGTTGCCATCTCTAATTCAGGGTTCTAATTCTAATTTAGGTTTAAACTAGCTTTGGCTTTACAAAGCAAGTCTCTCCCCATCTTGATTCCAGTGCATAGCTACAGAACAGAGGATGTATCTCAGCTTCTGCAACATTTGCACAAAACGGAAGCACAAAAACCCGCTGTATAGGTGTCCTTGCTGCAGCAGGAGAGGGTGTGGTGAGTTAACCCCCATCACACAGGTCATGCTGAGGAGGGGATTTTCCTCTCTCTTGGAAGAGAGACAGACCAAAGCACAGTGGGACCCTGGCATTGTCCGGTGCTATGGTTCACAATGTTTTCAAATAAAACTTCAGGCTTTGGGGGTGTCTCCATACTCCTGCAGCTCCTAGTGCAAGGACCTGCCCACTTCATTGTGGAGTTCAGTATTACACACACCAAGTGCATGTTTCTTTTTATTGGTGATGGTTGCACCTGAGTGACCTTTCACTCATCCATTCGTTCTGTTGGTGTCCAGTGGGTGAAGCATAAATATTCATAATAGCACTATAAAAGCACTACAATTAGGAATCTATGCACTATTCACCCAGCTGAATGAGGGCATCCCAGTAAAAAGCCGAACTTTAAAGGTACGGGACTGAATCCTGGTGTCAGGGAGTCCTTTTTCCATTTGCATTTTATGATTAATAATGTTATTCCAGGGCTGCAGGGAGCTACAGCCCCCCCATGCCCTTAATCAGGTACTGTATGTCATATTTAGGAATAGTACCGCACAATTCAGTGCTTCCCCTGAAACCATATGCCCCTCATTTCCCCCCTCTCCCTCTCCCTGCAGGGAGGGAGAGAGGAGAATTGGAGGCACAAAGATAAAGATCCCACTGTGAGATATGAAAAATTTACTGGAAACAGCAATGAGATAAGAAAATGGACATTAACAACAACAATACTGGTGACAGAGGGTACAAGAAATTAACAATTCCCATGGAAAAACCCCCTGACAATTGACCATATCCAACCATTCCTTCTGCTGCACTGCACTGACCCAGCTGCACTGTGCTGGGACCTTTTGTCTCCAAAAGAGATCCCCTTCCCCTCACCCCTTGCAAATAGTATAGAATAACTTCAGTGTCCTGGACATGCCCCCTCCTGACTACTGCAAAAAATAACCCTGTCCTGCTGGAACCAGGACAGTGTACAATGTGTAACATATAGGGCTTCTTTCTTACAATACTCTTCATCTTTCCCACCCCAAGTAAACTTTGATTTTAGCAGGTAATATTGCAGTCAGCTTCACTGGAGGCAGTGGAGCTCTTCATCTGCTCAAAGGTGCTTAAAAGAAGTTTTGTTACGAGCTTTTCTACTGTGGTTGTCTGTGGAGGGACAGAGCTGCTTCCCACACTCCAGAAAACTTCATTTGTAAGAGATAGCACCTAAACCTGTGCTTGGCTTTGTGAACCCATTGCAACCCTGTCATTGTGCCCAGCTTCACCTTTTTGTTTGTGTTTTAAGCATCTCTGTAATCAGCTGCCAGATCCGCAGGCAGAGGGAAGGCCCTGAGGCCAAAGCAGAGCTGTGTTAGATTCCCATGTGATTTTTAAAAGATAGATTGCCAGTTACTCATAAATTGAATTGACATCGCAGACCTCACTACATCATATCTCACTTTTGGCTGAGTTACCAAGAGAACTTATGCTGATGTTTTGGTAAGTCTGATTATTTTAGGAAGTTAAATCCACATCATATATTTTGCTGATTTTATTGAAAGAGTTTTCCAAATAATTAATAGACCTGAACTTTCTCAGGCATACACTGCAGTGGCCTTGGGTGTTATTGCATCCCCAGAACAGGGTTACTGAGAGGCATCAGCAGAGCACCCACAAGGCAAAAGGTGTGATGGTTTGGAAGGGGCCTGAGAGGTCAGAGGGAGCAGTGTGGAAGGAATAGTCCTGGAGCAGGCTCCACTCACCTAGAAACATTACCACTGGCTTTGCTGGGGTCTTTCAGGCCAGGGGAAAAGCCCAGTCCCAACTGTAAAGCAGATCTTCAAGTGCCTCACATAGGCCTGTCATTTCATTCTATGCCATATGCAGTTTCCATGGGATTCTGTCACAGCATCTGTCTGAATCAGTTGATTCATTTGAGTTTCTGTGCTCTAACCTAACATTTATCAATATGCAGCTCATGCAAAGTTCCTCATTATTTTTTCATTGGGAAACAGCGTGGCACAAATTGGAAAAAAAAACTTCTTTCCAGTGCTGTTTGATGTTGTACACCTTCTTCCAGAGTTTTCCCTTTTCTGTATGTTTTTGCCTTTGTGTGATTTGGTCTGTGAAGTGTCAGTATTATTTTATTTTGCTTTTCAATAAAACATTTTCATTTTTGCATTTCAGTCCTTGTGCATTTCTCATAAGTACCATCTTCCCATTATGTCTGCGAAATGCTGTTAAAGAAAGATGATTGTGTGTAGTCCAAGCATCAAGATTGATCGGGGCTCCTTGGAATGGGACATTTTCCTGGCTCTTTCATGCTGTGCCTGCAGAAGCACCTGAGCTGCCAGGGCCATCCAAGCAGAAGCACAGTGACACACAGCATTCAGATGTCTCACAGCAGTGGACACGCAAACACAGAAAGTCTCTGATCTGAAGAATGCTCACTTGGCAATCAAAAGACAGAAAGATGGGAAGGCAACATAATCTCTTTGCTTTAAAGATCAAATCAGAATTTTAGAAATCTGCCCAAACCACTGAAATAAAACTCACTCTCAGGCTGCTTTGCCCATCAGCCTCTGGGTTCAGTCAGCCTCATATTTGCTCATCCAAGTCACTTTTTTTCTTGCCCGTTTCCCATGTTTGTCTGCCCACAGGTAAGTTGAGAGACAGCCCAGCACTTCCAGACCACTGGCAAAATTAGTACCTGTGACAATCTATGGATTTGAGGTCTATGGCTATGGGATCTCTGACTCTAGTCCTTATAATCTGTCACATCTCTGGGTGCACTGGGGAGACACAAGTAAACCAATAAAAATACAGTGTCATTTGCGAACATTTAGTAAAGATGGAAGGTTTTTTAGTAAAAAGCAGCTAACCAAGAGTATTGAATCCCCAAGCCCTCTGCAGTGTTATTGCTGCCTGACCCATCCTGTGCTGTTTCACTGGGAGAGAAGATCCTACCTGCACACTGTGAAGTGTCTCTCAGGATTTTTCCTGAGCTGGGTAAACGTTGCAAACTGAACATCTCAAGGTATCCTGGTCAGCCAAGTCTAAATGCATCCCATTCTCAAATACATCTTTGGAAATTTGAACACCTTCTCTGCCAAAAAAGTCTCAAAAAATGAGTCTCAAAAAGTGTTGCAAATTCAAAATTGATAAAAGAAAACCAGCACTGTCACCTCAATCAAAACATTTCATTTCAGCAGCATCAGAGTAGTTCATGTTAATTGAACCTGGGCTTTTTGAGCCGGCAGGTAGAATAGGTGACCTTCCGGAGGCTGCTTCTGCTTATATTTTGCTGTGATTCTGTGATTCCAGTTTCAAAAAGAAAGACCTTTCAAACCAGCAAAAGAGCTTTTTCTTTCACAAACTGTTGAAGCCTGGCTGTTTTCAAAATAGATTTCAATCAATTGTAGAAAAGTTTGAATGAAGTCTGGACTTAGTAAATTGGAGATTGCTGCCAATTTTTTATGCCTTTGAAATAGGATGGTTAAAATGTGTCATGGTGGTGAGTGATAATTCTGACAGAACTGACTATCATCTACTTTTGGTTTCAATGAATTAATGTTTTTCTGTGTGTGTTGGGGGTAAAAATCCCCCCAAACTTCATATACAAGAAAAAAAACCCTCAAAATGATTTTATTTTAATTCCAGTATTTTGTTAACCAAACAGTGCCCTACGTTCTCCATTGGGATATTACTGTAGGATCATTTTTCCTGTCTTGGTCTCCTAATAATCTAGTGACAATGAGTTTTACAGCCAGTCATACTTCTTTGAAAAGTATTGTTCTGTACAATATTAAAATAAGGTGCATCCAGATGCAATACAGTACACCTTCTGCTGTGAGCTAAGAGACAACTAGTTGCTGGGAGAATTAAGAAGCATTGCCATTGCAGGGAAGGAACAGTATTTTTATTCATGTAAAAGACCAGTGTTCCACCGTCAGGGAGAGAGGAGGATATGCAGCCTGAGGAATGAAGGCTTTAACAGTGTGAAATGGAAGGGAAGCAGGAGGCAGCTCTTCTTCCCAGAACAGCTCTTTGAAAGACATTCCTAGAGGCACATTTTTCTCTCTGAATGTGCAAGAGCTCTTACTCTAATGATCCTTGTCCTGCTTGAACAC